CCTTTTCAGAGGTGAGTTTCTTCCACGCATCAATGTTCTCGGGGCGTTTGCTCCACTCGTCCAGACTGAGTCCGAGCTTGGGCGGCTTGTCGTTGTACTTGGCCTGGACGGTTTCGTTGGGCGGCAGGACGGTGAGGCCAAGCTCAGCAGCGAGGTCTTGCCAGATCTGGCCGAGGGTTCGCGTGTCGCCGTCCTCGATGTTGAACGACTGGTTCTCGCACTTGGCCTTGTTGGCCGGGTCGGTGAGGAAGACCTGGAAGCGGGCATTGTTGATGGCTGTCGACTGAGATACAAAGATCTGGTCCCAGTTGAGATTGTTGCCGGGGTACTGCACCTCGGTGTTGCCCTTGGCCTTTTCGAGAGCAAGATAGATTGACGTCGACACGGCCTGGTTCATAAAGTTGCCCTTGGCAGCTCCAATGATGGTGTTGGGACGCGTCTCGGACCAGGCGTATCCATTCTTTTGGGCGTGCGCAATCAGTGTGTCGACCTGATCGTAGTAGAAATTGGGAGGGTCAGTAGGTCCACGTTCGACATCCTCCTGGTAGGGCACGGGCGACGCAAGATCCTTGTTTCCAAGGTGAAGCGAGTACCACTTGTATCCGGTCTGCAGGTGGAAGTGCTTCAGATTGGAACCGGCGGCAGCACAAGTGGAGTCGAGGGCCTTTTCGAGCAGGACGTGGTTGACGTCGAGCAGCTCCTGCGGGTCCTTTTTCTCGATGTACGTGTAGTGGAGAGCGGCGTTGACCGACTCGCCTCCATTCTGCTTGAGCTTGTCGGTGATCTCGTCGACCGAGGCATTGAGGATGTCGATCGAGACGAACCTGATGCGCTTGTCCTTGAGGTCAACCTGCGGAGGTCGTCGAGAGACCGCCAGGATGGAACCGACAACCGACTCGGGCTGCTCGACCAGGGCACGCAGAGCGGCGATACCCGATACTCCGTTGGCTCCCCAGACGAGGTAGTTGCGTGGCGAAGACATGATGGCGATGTATACAGAGGAATGATGTCGGAGGAGGGGGGGCGGCAAGGATCACTTTCGTAGGTCGGCTGAGTTTATATTGTCGCCCACCACACTGCTTGGTGCTGCATAGTCTGTGCCGAGGGTAAAGTGGAGCAACGCAGACGACAGTCGGCGAATTCTTTGGGCGGGCGGCTGCAAGCGCACATATTCGGATGTGGATGCACTCGAAAGGCAGGCAGTGTTGCTCAGGAAGGCAGACAGTCGGAACGGGAGAAGGACTCCACCACCGAAGCAGGAGCTTGTACTCGCGAGGTGCGACACGACTGGGGAGAAGGGAGAGAGGATCAAGTTACGGCTATGATTCATCATTGTCCTTCTTCGGGTGCCTCATGAGATGTGTGGATCTGGCTGCTAAGTACTGTACTCAATTCGAATGTTTACCGCCTCCTGCGTCCACCAGAGCAGATTACATAGCAACTACCATCAAGTACAATACAGTACACTTGAACACCAGTGTCTCTGCGGCTATACAAACATGCCGTGGGATTGAGCGGCTGCCTCCACAGAAGCACAACAGTATAGTCCTCAATCACGAATTATTATGTCCAGTACCAGCTGTATACTGTACGTACTTACGTCTTGCAGAAGAGTGAACTGACGTGCGTCCACAAATGACGTCTCTTGCCTTTCTTTTCTTTCTCTCTTTTTCCTTTTTCCCACCCGAATCTAATGCAACTACTGTACTACTGTACTGTACGTACGCCGTGCTTGCAGAGTTTCGCGGCTCTTGAGCCTCATTCACGACACTGCTGCTTCTGAGAACCCAGCATTTCACAGCTTGTGCACCCGCTCGCACGCTCAAACACTCATGGCAATGCACATACTGCACTGCGCCCACACGCCTTGCAAAAAGCCGCTTGTACCCGCATCTACATGCAAGTCTGGCAAACGTCCTCATTGTCTAGCCTTCATCTGGAACGGCAGACAATGGGCGGGGTCATTCGGTTTTGCACAGACCAGACCATTGCTCTTTCAAAAGCGAGCACGATCGCGTCCATATTTTCTCGCACCTTACCGGCCACATCTCATACAGTACTCTCCTCACAACACTGAGATCGTCTGTATCAGCAACTGTTCTACCCCTCGAGCCCACACGCAAATCATTTGTTATGGAGATAAAATGCAATTCCACTGTTGAAGGTCAGATGGACGATGGAGAAAAGTCTCAGTCTCGTTGAAAGGCGAGGCGCTTGAGAAGGATCTCGGCCAGGTCGGTCATTTCTGTGCCTGCAGCAATCACTTTTTGGAGGTAGTCGTTTGCGAGGGCGAGGTTGCCCGTCTTGGGGTTGGCTGTCGAGTCTGCTGGGTCGTCGTGCATATCTTGATCTTCTGGGTCTCTGCCCTTGGATGGAGCTTGGCGAGGTGGTCCGCCGGTTGTCGCGGATCCGATCTCGCCCATCTCCCAGCGAGCTGCAATGATGTACGATCGAGCGTATCTTGCAACCACGTTGGACTCGGCATCTGCCAGTCCCCTGTCAACCACCTGTACCAGACGCCGATGGTAGGATGCCGCCGCCAACAGATCCCGTTCCTTTTCGTACACCTCGATGATGCGTGTCAGGCCAATGATTGTGTCGTTCTGATTCAGTCGACAGGTCAGATACCGCTTGAAGCACGATATCGCATCCTGAGATCTGTCGTTACCAAAAGAAAAGGAAAGAAAAGAATGAACAAGCACAGCCAATCGTGATCGTTCAGTATCTCTGTAGGCACTTGGGCGCCGCATAGCTCGGGATGCAGACTCACCTTCCCAAATGATCGTAGCAGATGCCCATGCTCGACCACATGCGTCCGTCATACGGCCGAATGGCTGCACACTTTTGAAAGTAGTTGACTGCGTAGGTATACGCCCCGTTGAGTTCGTACACCTGGCCGAGGCCGTACAGCGCCCTGTACTCTCGGGGATTGATCTTGAGTGCGCGCCTGTACATTTCGGCAGCGGCATGCGAGTTTTTGAGCTCAATGTATTCGTGTCCGAGCAGAATCCAGGCGGGCACACAGCCCGAGTCGAGTCGAAGAGCATGTCGGAAAGCCTCGATGGCACGATGGTGGTCGCTGCGCTGGTTGTAGTAGTTGCCCACCAGACAGCACACCTCGGGCCTGTCTTTTGCAAACGTGCCAAACTTGTGCGCCAGATGTGCAAGCTCGGCGGTGCGGTTGAGCAGGTACAGGGCATTCGAGTAGTCCGAAAGTCCATCTATGCGGTACGGATCGATGGACCAGGCCTCCTGAAAGTCCTGTTCCGCTTCAATGTAGTCGAGCCGATGCACATTGGTCTGCGCTCGACACGTCAGCAGATACGCCGATCGCGGAAAGTACTCGAGCAGCTTATCGATGCGTGCTATGCTCATATCTCCCTCCTGTGCCGAATGTCGATCGAGGAACTCCTTGAAGAAACTGACCATGAAGGACTCGGGCAGCAGATCGCCGATCTGATCTACCTCTCCCGCCTCGAGCGTCATGGAAAGCTCCTGCCAGGCGGCCCAGTTGTACGGACAGGCCTGGACCGACCGCACGAGACAGTCCATCGCCTCGATCGGCCTGTCGAGTTTGCGCAGGATGGCACCTTTGAGAAAGAGCAGATACGGGTCCGTTGCGTCGATCAGCTCCTTCAGTATGGGTATCAGGTTGGGTGACGTGCCGGGAAGCTTGCCGTTGGGTTTTGGGATGATCATGCCGTGCTCGTCGAGCTTGCGCTCCGACATGAGAAAGCGTGCATAGAGACGCAAGAAGACGGCCTTGTCGATAGCGCAGCTGCTCTGTTCCAGGACCCATACACAGCGTTCGAGCTGGTGCTGGTCAAAGTGACTCTTGGCTAGCAAGTAGGTCTCGATCTCTTCGAAATCGGCTTCTTCGTGCGGGTCGCGGATTTGTGATGGCCCGGGAGAGCAGTTGATCGAGTTGCTGTTCGACTGCCAGTGAACATGAGCCGAGCCTGCGTTGCCCCCGTCTTCGCTGTCGACTGTGATCACGGAGCTATCAGCGTCCTTGGCTCCCAGTACCATTCCGGTATGCGCTAGGGGCGAAGAAGGAAACGCCTTGTTGGGAAAGCGGCCCGAGTCCTCGACGGAAATGTCCTCCATACTTGGTTCAGCCGACATGCGCTGCTGCATTCCGAGTGCCGGCGTCGAGTGCTCGGGAAAGCCAGGCGGCCGTTTCAAGATCCGCTTTTGCGCCGGTGTCGTGGCTCCAAGCGCTGCTGGAGCTATGATTGGCTCGTTGATATACCCGCCGACATAGGCGCCCCGTGGAACAGACTGCAGCAGCTCAAGCGTCCACCTCGAGGAAGATGCCAGTCCTCGCTCGCCGAGCTCCCTTGCGGCAAGACGCAGTGATTCCCTAGCTCGGGCCGGATCGAGGTCGGGAAATGGATAGTCAATATCCAGTACCGACATGCTGTCACGATGAGATGAGCATGTAGTTGCTGCCAGGGTTGCGAAAGGCTGGGTACAGTTGCGCGAGAGATCCGGTACTAGTGCTGGTGAGCCGAAGTTTGAGGGTCGAACGTGTAGGGTCCGATGGCAGATGGGTGTATGCGTGTCAGCACAGCGAAGTATGCCGGTCGTCAGCAGGCAAGGTATACGGATATAGATACAGGTCACTGTCAACAATGTAGTTGTTCGTGATGCTGCTGCACGATAGACCAAAAGGGTGCGGTTGTAGGTAGTGTTGGTCTGCGCGCGTCTCCACCTTTGTGCAACAAAAACAAGAAACATTAATTGATGCAAGGTGCGTTCTTTTACGCGTGTCCTTTCGCGCTCGCCCAACACACCATTATTATTCTTACCGCTTCAGAAGACGCTCCTCAACACGAGCTCAACTACGTGCCTTGGAATGAAGAGACGTCAAAGCAAATCTTGAAAGCTGTGCTCATTGGGCCAGAGAACTGATCGTCAGAAGAGATACCTGGGGTACAAAGTCAAGTGAAATGTTGCAAAGAGAAAAGCAAAAATAAAAGCAAAAATGAAAAAGAATCTGCGGCCTGGAGGAATCGAACATCCGTTTGCTCGGCAACAGCACTTGCTATTTCCAGGACAAGAGAAACCACAACGAGCTGTAATAACCACTATACGAAAGCCGCTGTGTTGTTACAGTGCATAAGCGCTATTGCGTATATATACTTGTACTTTTTTGTCAACTGATAATCTTGCATTTTCTTGCTCTTTTCGCACTCATCACGAACCCAATTCAGACATTCAATCTTCGATGGGAAGCAAGACGATTTTCTGTGGTTGTTACTATTCAACTTCATTCATTTCGCCATTCATTCTCTCGATGGGATGGTGGCATACGAGTGTGAAGTATAGAGCGAGAGTGGGCGAAAGGGGTTTCGTCCGCTGATGCCGAGCTTGGTCTCGGTCGATGTGGGCCAAAGAGGATCCTTGCGGTACAGGGAAGCCAGCTTCTCCTGTCGTGCATGTGGTTGGTGGTGGTGTTGGTGGTGGAAAGACGCATGGGGATGGGACATGGCAGACAGTGGTAGAATGGAAGGAAGCCGGGTGCGGCCATCGAGACTGGTTCGGCTGATTGGTGCCAGGACAGGCGAAGGCAGTTCGTCGCTCGACTCGGTGGCCGAGTCTGACTGCACGTCACCACGGCACCACGAGTGGCGAGCACAACCGTAGCGCGGCTGTGCCGAAGTACAGTTTGCAGAGGTGCTGCCTGTATTGATGGTAGCGAAGCCGGCAGAAGGCTTTGAAGCCGCAAGCGATCTGTCCTGTTCCGCAAGTGTCGCATGGTTTTGACAGGCCGAACAGTCTGTCTCGTCTTCCGACTCGCTATCTTGGATGACGTCCCTAGATTCCACTCTGTTTGAATCCGAGTCGTCCGCGTGTGCCTGATCACCTGAGCTCGGGTCGCTACCGAGCTTGACTTCTGCGGTTTCTACCGTTGAGTTCGAGGCGGTGAGGCCACGGACGGATGCCTTTCGAATGTCGTCGCTTCCCCAGTGCAGCCGCCGTTTCTTGCAAGAGTGATGTTCGCAGGCTGACTCGTCGGATCTCAGCCTAGTCATGGATGCAGAGCCGGACATCAAGGGCTCGTCGTCACTCGAGGTTGATGGGCTGCGCACACGGGCAGAAACATCCGAGTCCATCGGCTGAGGACTTGCGCATCGATGGGCCTGGCGATAGTGTTCCTGAAGTCTGTCTGAGCTGGATGCGGTGGGAATGGAGTCAGGCTGACCTCTGCACAGCTCGCGCAGAGACTGATTTTCGCGTTGCAGCTCCAGAACATAGTCGACGGTATGGCTGATGATGCAGAGCTTCTCGAGCACCATTGACGACTTGACCTTTTCTTGCATTTCTTGCTTGGCCTTTTCGACCTTCTCGAGCGTCTTTTTCCGCTTCTCACCTCTGCGAGTGGCCTGCTTTCCTCCCGCATCCTGAGTATCGTTGGAAGGATTCAGAGAGTCATACTTGCGCTCGATCAGGTCCTGGCACTCCAACAGACAGGCAGGGACGAGGTTCTGCAGGAAGACGAGCTTCTCGTTGATCTTTTCCCGACGTCTCCGTTCGATGACGGAGTGGTCGGTCTTGCGGCTTAGCACGCGCGACTTGCGCTGACTGCCGTCTTTGTTCAGCAGTGGCCGTTTCGAAGATTCTGCCGACGAGTCCGAGGACACGGACGCTCGCTTGGCGACCGCCATTCTAGACGACACGAAACAACTGCAAACTTAATTCACGACGATGTTGATGATGGCTGAGGCGAACTTGTGGTATACACTGGAGCCAGAGAGTGAGAGATGGTGATGTGGTAGTGGTTGGTCAGAGAAGACTCAGTCCTGGTCGCATATATCAGACGGCAGCACAGATTGTCGGCTTTCAATATTGATGAGACAGGAACGTTGACGGTTAAGCTTTGCTACTGTATTAGGCTGGATGTACAGGGCCGGTCATGTGGAGTGTAGCCTCAAGGGTCGAGAAACAGTACAGTAGGGACGGCAGGCACTGGGCTCGGACGAGGGGGCGTGAGAATCGAGTACCGTGCCGGTCAAATGCGTATGGCTGCTGGACAGAACGTGCAGCACACGACACCGCACGGTAAGTGCACTTACCCTTCCCATGATCCGGCGGGAAAGGAGCTCACAAGAGACAGACAGACAGACAGACAGACAGACAGGCAAGGTCATCAGGACATGAGGATGGAAATGGCACCGGACAGTAGAGTACTAAGTGATAGATAGGCTCGGGAAAGATGTCGTGAGCCGACTGGTCACGTCACGCTATGCTGGGCACGCTTGAGCATTTGGCTGCTGGCTTGCTTCGCTTCTTGACCCACAGGGTCGTCGCCGGCGAGGCACTTGTGGTCAGTCAGGCGGCAGGTTGGATGCAGCATCAAGCAGAGTTTGTCGGTCAGTCTTGGCCCTGACATGGCTTATCGCAAGTGCGGGGGATCAAAATGGCGTGAGGACCTTTGAGGTTATCGCAAACTTGACCTCTCGCTTGCGCCATCGCCCCAATCTTTACGCAAATAAGCAAGATGTTAGACTTTCAAATCCACGACAGCAATGGACAGGGTCTCGCGACATCCCATCCCTACTCCGACTTCCGGCGAAGATCCTCAATTTTTGGCAATTCAAGAAGAAATGCTGCTCGGGCGCTTTTTGCACAGGGGTGTCGATCGAGCGAAAGTGATGTCACAGTCTACCCTGGTCACCGTTGTCGTTCCCATCATCATTATCTCGTCATCATTCCAGCATTGCATCCATCGGGCTAGCCAGCCAGCCAGTCAGCATAGCGCGAGTTCAATGTCGATACCAAGGCAGGCTACCAGCCGCGCCTGCTGCACTCTGGCAGGCGGCGTGGCCGGGCCTTCTCGACAGATTCGACCCATTGTACCCCGAGTACCAAGCACGACGGAATGTCATAAAGCCTCAAGCCATCCAAGACGACTGCACACCCGAGCTATGGTCAGCGTATCCGGAACTAGCCTCAGACAGCCAAACAGAAGCGCGGTATCCCCCTGGACCGAGCTTGTGCAGTCGCTTCGCAGGTATGCCACCGAGAGCGGGCAAGCAGCGGGCAAGGATGAGGCCAAGTTGCAGATAGACTCGGACGCCGTCGTGCGCCTGGCTCGGCTGAGAATGGCTCGCAGAGAGAGGCTGCTCACTGCTCCAGAAGGGTCCGACAGCGCTGAAACGGGCAAGATGCTGAAGGATCTCGAACCGCTGCGACAGGTCTGGGAGAGCTTCTTAGCCAAGCGCAAGCAGCTTCTTTCTACGATAAGCATGGCAGAGAACGATCCAGATGAAGACATGCGAGCGATGGCTCAGGAGGAAGTGCCAGTGCTGGAGGAGGAGCTGCAGAGCATCCGATCCGAGATGGAGGAGATCACACTTGCATCGACGACGGATCCGATCGAGGCCCAAGCGGTCGGTGCCGTTCTCGAGGTGCGACCTGGTGTAGGTGGACAGGAGTCGACGCTATTTACATCCGAGGTGGCGAGAATGTACGAGCGCTTCTGCGAACAGAAGCCGGCAGACGAAGACGGCTCTGGGGAATGGCAGGTGGAGCTACTGTCTAGCACCAGTGTCGACGTATCTACGGCATCGGCAGGCTCTGGCTCAGGTCTGAAGGAAGCCATTATCGAAGTCAAGGGCAGAGGCGCTTTCCAGAAGCTCAAATTCGAGGCAGGCGTTCATCGTGTCCAGCGCATCCCAGCCACGCAGAGTCTGGGCAAGCTGCAGACGTCGACGATTGCCGTCATGGTACTGCCAATCTCGGAAGGCGGCGAGAACAAGGCCGACGACCTCGTGGATCCCAAAGACGTCAAGGTGGAAGTGATGCGGTCGAGAGGCGCCGGAGGTCAGCACGTCAACAAGACCGAGTCGGCCATCCGTCTGACGCACGAGCCGACAGGTATCAGCGTCTCGATGCAGGACAGCCGTTCACAGCACCAGAATCGAACCAAGGCATGGGCAGTGCTTCGGGCCCGATTGCTGGATCGAAAGCTCAAGCAAGAGGTAGAGGGAAACCGCGAGCGCAGATTGGCTCAGGTAGCGAGCATGGACCGGAGCGACCGCGTTCGCACCTACAACTTTCCTCAGGACCGTGTTACGGATCACCGTATCAACCTCAGCCTCAACGGTATCGACGGTATCATGGAGGGAGAGCACGATCCAGGAACCGGCCTCGACTACATCATGGACCGTCTGCGCGAGGAAAGCAACGTTCGCAAGATTCGGGCTCTTCTCGAGAACGAAGAGAGCGAGGCCGCAGATGCGGTGGCCGGCAGTAACGCTAACGGCAGCAAGCGACGCTAAGCCTTCGCAGCTAACCCATTGCGTCCTTTATACCGTCGCGAGTTCGACACTCTAATACAATCACAGGCTACAGTACTGTACTGCCGTTCAGATCACATTTGTGCCCGTGCATCACCCCACACTTTGTAACACCTGAGCACACTCGGTTGCTAGACTGTGATAGATTTCTGCTTTTGCCCAAAAAAAAAACTTGGGTGGAGCCGCTGCGGCCGACTTCTAGCTTTGCCCTTTGTTCACATACGTATTGCATTCTGCACATCTGTCACGAGACGTGGACGCGGATCGAGCACCCTGACAATTGTCGCTGTGATGGCAGCTTCACGTAGCTGTCCCGCTGGCTATTGAAGGTCTGATAGCTCCCCACGAGCGTCAGCGTTAGCAGCGACAGAGCATGCGGCAGAAGACAGTGATTGATCACGCATGGCCGTTGCTTGCTCTTTTGCTCTTTTGCGCGTAGAGGATTGGCTGCGCCGAGCTCTCTTGGGTTAAAGTTACAAGCACCGAGGTAAACTTCGAGGCAGAGCTGTTTCGATCCTTATCAAGTTTCAGTGTTGTGATTGGTTTCACTACACAGACGGCGGTACCGATATTACGGGCTCTCAGCACATCGTTCCTCACTCGTCCACGCACAATTCCACAGCAGCTTGCAAAGCGTTTCTAGCGCACCAACCATCTCTTGTCGTGTGAGTGGTGTGGGAAATGATGCAGCTCATAGAGAACCTGTCACTCCGCTCATCGCCGGGAAATGCACCGAAAGGACCCTCATTTCCATCGTGAAGAGGGCTGGCTGGTAATGTACTGACTGTACTGAAGTCGAA